TCCTGTGCCAATACCACATTGACTTTTCCACTATGGCTTGGTGGTATAATTGGAAGTCAAGCACTGTAATAGGTCTGGCATCGTGCTTTAAGATTTCTTTGGCTATCTATGGTCTTTTGTGCTTCCATGTGAGTTTTAGGATTTTTTTCTAGTTGTGTGGAGAATGCCATTGGAATTTTTATGGGGATTGTATAGTCTGTAGATTAGACAATGTTAGTTCTTTCAATCCAAGAGCACTGAACACATCTCCACTGTCTAGCATCATCTTCAATTTCTTTCTTCAGTGTCCTCAGGTCTGTCTACATTATAGACATCCTCACCTCCTTGGTTAGGGTCCTCCCCAGGTTTATTTGTTCACTTATTTATTGACTGAAGCCATTGTGAAAGGAATCCCGATTTCCTCCTTGGGAAGTTATTGAAATAGAAAAGCTTTTCATTTTTGTATGCTGATTCTGAGCCCTGTCACTTTGCTGAAAATATTCACCTGACCTAAGAGCTTTCTGGTGTGTCCATAGAGTCTTTTAAATAAGTTCACAGCATTTGCAAATGGGAAGAGTTTGACTTCTTCTGCTTCTTACTCATGTCCCTTTATTTCCTTTTCTTGTCTTATTGCTTTAGCCATATTGAATGTGAGTGAAGAGTGAGCACTCCAGAGTTTGAGGAAATATTCCCAGTATCTCCCCATTTAGCATAACATTGGCTATCTATTTGCCTTAAAAAGCCTTGCCTATACTGAAAGTTCTTTCTAGTCCTAGTTCCTTTAGGACTTTTGCCATGAAGCCATTTTGAACTTTGTCAAATATCTTTTCTGTAGTCATTGAGAAGATCATGTGATTTTTGTCCTGAAGTCTTTATTTACCTAGTGTGTAACACTTATTTGTTTGTGAATATTGGACTAACTCTGCACCCCTGGGATGAAACCAACTTCATTGTGATGTATGATCTTAATGTCCTCTTCAATTTTGTTTGTTAAGTATTTTGTCGAAAATTTTTACATCCTTGTTCATCGTGAAAGTTGGTCTATAGTTTTATTGTCATGTTCTTACCTGGTTTGGTATCAGGATAATACTGGCTTCACAGAATGAGATGGGTAGTGTTCTTTCCCTTTCAATATTGTGGCATATTTTGAGCACTGTGTGAGCTCTTCCTTAAAGGTTTGGAAGAATTCAGCAGTGAATCTGCCCAGTCCTGGCCTTTTCCTTGTAGAAAGACTTTTCATTACTGCTTCAATTGTGTTGATGTCTTTGTATTCTTATAGTATTTAATTTTGGTAGGTGTTATATACTTAAGAATCTATTGGGCTGGAGAGATGGCTCAGAGGTTAAGAGCACTGGCTGTTCTTCCAGAGGTCCTGAGTTCAATTCCCAGCAACCACATGATGGTTTATAACCATCTGTAATGAAATCTGGTACCCTCTTCTCGCCTGCAGGGATGCAGGCAGAACACTGTATGCACAATAAATAAATAAATTAAAAAAAAAAAAGAATCTATCAACTATTTCCAGAATTTTCAGCTTTTTGAAAAATAAGTTCTACAATACTCCCTAATGATTCTCCAGATTTTATCGGATTCTATTGTAACAATTTCCCTTTCACCTCTAAAATATCAATGCAGTGCTTCTCTTTCTTCTGGTTAATTTGGTCAAGGCTTTGTCAATCTTGTTCATCTTTTCAAAGCACCAGCACTTTAAGTCTATGAGTTGTTCCTTTAGTTTCTAATTTATTAACTTCCTCCCTGATCTTTATAATATCTGGCCACAGTGGATTTGGGTTTGGCTTCTTGTGTTTCTAGAAACTTCAGATATATCATTAGGTACCTTATTTGACATTGCTGTGATTTATAAAATTGTATTTTACTTTACGTGTATGTGTTTTGCCTATGTGCCTGTCTGCATACTAGGTGTGTTCCTGGTGCCTGTGGAGGTCAGAAGAGGGTGTCAGATCTCCTGAGACTGCAGTCACAGAAGGCTGGGAGCCACCATGGAGGTGCTGGCAATTGAACCTGGATCCTCTGGAAGGGCTCTTAACTCCTGAGCTACCATATTAAACCGTTGATTTCTTTTTTAAAATTTGAACACTAATTACTATAAATGGCTCCCCTTCTATCTCAGAAGTTCAATAGGCTATGCTATCACTTTCATCAGAGTGTAGGAATGTTAAATTCCCTCCATGACTTCTTCAGTGACTCACTGTTAACTAAAGAGTAAAGTATCTGTGTAGTCTCGGCAGTTTCTCTTGTTGATTTTTTACTTTATGTCTGTGGTCTAAGAGAATAGAAGGAATTATTTCAGCTTTCTGCATGTGTTACGGCTTGTTCGGTGACACCTAATGTGACTGACTGTAGAGGAGGCTTCATGGGCTGCTGAGAATATATATTCTGTCACCTGTTGGATGGAATGGTCTGTCGATGTCTGTTACATCCAATTGGTCAATTGTATGGGTTAGCTCTGTTGTCACTCTACTTTTAGTCTGGAAGACCTGACTAAAGACAAGAATGGAGTATTGAAGTCCCCCCGCAGTACCACATCAGGACTTCTCCTACCTTTCATGCCATTTAGTGTTTATGAAATTGGGAGCCTACAATGTTCAATGTACAAATATTTACTATATTGCTATATAATCTTTATAAACTGTTCTCCTTTTAAATGTGTAATGGATTTATCTCTTCTGAATAGTTTTGGTTTGGAGTCTACTTTATCAGATATCAGAATCATGACACCAGCTGCTTCGTGGTTCCACTGGCTTGGTAGGGGGATTTCCCTCCTTTGATTTTCCATTTTCTAATGTCTGTGCCAGGAGTATATGTCTTGGAGATGATACACAGCTGGGTGTTGGGTTTTAATCCAGTTACCTACTTTGCACCTGTTAGTCGGTGAGTAGGGCCAATTGTCGCATCTAAGGTTACTGAGGGGCCTGCTCCTTGGCTGTTTCCCTGGCTAGGTGGGTTACTGACAGCTCTTTTCCTGCTCCTCCTTCAGTGTTAGGGGTTTACAGGTTCACTGTGTTGGGCATGATGGAGTACTTCTTGGCTCTCCGCTGTCCATCGGTTCCTCTCATGAAATGCACTCCTCACGTGCTCTCACAGAGGGCTACCCTCATCCTCTGGAGAGTTCTTCTGTCAGGATTTGCTGCAGTGCCGGCTGGCCCATCATGAGCTGTCTCAGTCTATGCTTGTCCAAAACCGTCCTTACAGCTACACCAGTTTTCAGGGATAATTTTGTTGGGTATTGTCAGTTGACAGTCATGTCTTTCAGGGACTGAAATACATCATTTCATCTTCACTGGCTTTTAGGGTTGATGATAAGAAATCTGATATTATTCTTTTTTTTTTTTTTAAAGATTTATTTATTTATTAGGTATACAGCATGTATGACTGCAGGCCAGAAGAGGGCACCAGATCTCATTACAGATGGTTGTGAGCCACCATGTGGTTGCTGGGAATTGAACTCAGGACCTCTGGAAGAGCAGTCAGTGCTCTTAACCTCTGAGCCATCTCTCCAGCCCCCTGATATTATTCTTTAAAAATTAAAAAAAAAGTTTTCATTTATTTATTTATTTATTTATTTATTTATTTGTTATTTGTGGTGTGTGTGTGGGTGTATATGTGTACATGTCATATGTATGAGACAAATTGTGGGAACTGGTCCTCACTGGAGACTGAGCTCAGCTGTGTCAGGCTTGGCCATCTGAGCTGAGCCATCTTGCCAGCCCAAGAGCTGAAGTTACTCGGGTGCCTTTGTTTTTGTGTTTGAGTTGGCATTTTCCCTTAACAGCTTCTAAAGTTGTTTCTCTGCTTCGCCTTTTGAGATCTGACTGTGTCATGTCTACTGGAAGTTTTAAATGCTTCTGTGTTTGGATGTCCATTCCTTTTCCGAGGTTTCGGGAACTGCCTGTTATGATTTCATTGAATAACGGTTTTAGTATGTTTTAGACATACAAGCTCAAAGAGGAAATGGTTAAAGGAGGTCACCTCAAAAAAGCATGTGTTTGCTCTACACATGTGTTTGCACTCTTCTCGGGAACACTGCAGGGAGGAGAGAGATGTGGCTACATGCTCTCATGCTCTGGAGCACTGTTCTATGGCAGGACTTACACCCTCAGTGTTCACTTGAGGCCAGGGTCTACCTTTTTTCCCTGATGGAGTGCCAACCACCCAGTACCCATATGAAAATGGACAAAAGGGGGAAGGGGTTCAGGCAAGGAAAAATAAATGAAGATCTGATGTGATCAACTGTGTGGCAGCATGCAGCCCTAGCTAGAGAAGTCCACCTTAGGTGATGGGGGGTGATCAATGGGATGGAGTGTGGAGAAGCATCTGCTCCCATATGAGAGCTCTGCGTCCGTGAGCCACGCCACCAGGTGTATCTGAGAGCAGCTAGGAAGTCATAATTGCCACCCAGAGCACTTGGCATTTTCACTGAGAAAGAAGGTGTGCCTATAAGCCACTGTCACAGTCCCTACGATGACACATGTGCCTCTGCCTCCTCCAGACTTCTGAACACACCCCCTCTTGCTCACGACTTAGCAAGAGACTGGTAATCCCAAAGGCCACTCCATTACTTTTGCTTACTACTGTTTTGTTCCCAGGGCTTTGGGAATGTCAACTAACACATGTCAAGCACTTGATGGCATTTCCAGCAGAGCAGGATGTTCAAACAAGCCCATCATTAAGCTGTGGCGGGAACCTTTTCAAATGTTCTAGGCACTCAGTGCCAAAGCAGTCAGGAAGTCTTCAGCTTACAACAAGACCCATGTGTCGCTCACCTTGACCTTAAAATAAACAGACTCTTCTCAAGTGCATGGAGAACAAATAGAGGGCTGCTGCTCCTCTGTCCTTCCACTCTGGCCACACTTCCTGAACCAAGGTGCCCGTATCAAGCTGCAAGTCTGAAAAACTCGCCCATCTGAGACAGCTGGCATTTAAATACTCTTATCCTCAGTAGGATACTTTCCTTTCTCCCATCTCGATGGCTCACACAGCTAGCACGGGAACCCACTTACCACAGTGGGAGGGTCATTCCACTCTTCATAGGAGATGGCTGCATATGGATAGATCCTGTCATTGATGATCTGCAGGGTGGCCAGGGCAATGGCTTTAATGGACTGGAAGTATGCTTCCCAGAACCATCGTGCCTACAAAGAAAACAACATGAGTAGGTGAGCAGGTGAGATGTGGGGGAACGAGGTGCCCTGTCACAGCCAACTTGGGGCTAGTGATTCCTTCATTCCCGGGGTGAAGGGTGCTCCCTGCTGTCACACCAGGTCTATCAGAGGTGTGTTTGTACTGAAGGCAGTCAGAATAGAGTAGTGGTCAGGAAAGTACACACAGTCAGTGTAATAGAAGAGGAGCCTATGATGATGAAAGTCCTATGTGTCACATCAGGCAAGGCTTAGACTTTTTTTTTAAAAAGATAAATAGAGGGCTGAGGAGATAGCCTCACGGTTAAAGCACTTGCCACACAAGCATGAGGACCAGAGTTTGGATTCCCCAAAACCTATGTAAACACTGGGTCTGCATGGTAGTCCATACATAATCCTAGGATCAGAAACTGGAGATAAGAGATCCCCAGAGCAGGCTGGCTAATAAGACTAGGTGAATCAGTAAGCTCTGGGTTTGAGTAAGAGACCCTTTCTTAAAAAATAAGGTAGAAAAGTAATAAAGGATGATTCTTTTTAGCAACCTTGGGCCTTTGTGCACATTCACACACACACACACACACACACACACACACACACACACACACACGTAAATGCACACATGCATACCACACATGAAAATGGACAAAGAACAAACATTAGATATAGCATATATAGAGTGTGTTAGAAATCTTGTATGCACAGGCAAATGAAAGTTTATGTCTATGCAAACTCTTAAGGACAGCCCTGGTAAGGCAGGGGGCACTCCAGACAGCCCCATGCACATCGAGTCAGCATCTCACTCCTTTAAAGGCCCATGACTTAGATTTCTCTCATGCTCACTCTTGAATTTCACACAAATGGCATCAAATGACATTTGCTCTCCTGTCACAGACTTATTTGGTTCCACTTGGAACACGTAACTTATGTCATGGAATCAGGGTGTGGCTGGTCTCACAAAAATGAACTGAAAAGTGCTCTCTTTTTTTTCTATTTCTTGAAGAATTTAATTTTAATACAAAATTGATATTACTTTTCCTTCTCAAAAGGGTCTAGAAGAATTCATCAGAGACACAATTGAAGTAGGTTTCTCATGAGTATGTGTGACAAGATTTTATTATTTGTGTTTGTTCATTTGAGATGACATCTTACTATGCCCAAGTTGCCCTACAACTCACAGTCCTCCTGTCTCAGCCCCCCCAAATGCCAGGCTTACAGGCACACGCCGCCACCACTGGCACTTTCTTTTCTTTGAAACAGCGTCTTACTCTGTAGCCCAGATGCGCACCTCCTGTTTCAGCATTCTCAGGTGCCCGGCTGTGTGGCTTCAAGTCACTGGTTTTCTTTTGCAGACATAGAAGAAGGCAAATCTGGACCACTTGGAAATAGGACTGTTTTTCAAGGAAGATCTCATCGCATTTAGATTGTTAAATTTACTGAATAAAATTGTAGAAGTATGGCCCTTTCCTTCCCTATCCTGTCAGCCCGGTTTTCTCTGGGCACTTGTCCTTCTAAGGTCAATTTGAAGACTATTTTCAGAAGGAAAATTTTCATATTTTCTCTCCATCATACATTTTCTATGTTTTTTTTTCATTTTTAAAAAATATTTGCTTATCTATTGTGTGTGTGTGTGTGTGTGCATGTGCATGTGGGGGAGGGGCTCCATGGGCCAGGCAGAGGCCAGAGGAGGAAGTGTCCCTCTGTCATTCTCTACCTGTGTGTGTGCGTATGTGCACCTGAATACTGGCCGAAGGCCAGCTGTGGAACCCAACATCTAACTCAAGCTGTCTCCAATCAGCTCCCCCCGCCCACACATTTCAATTCACTTAGAGAGGAAGCAAGCTCTGCCAATAATCACAGCTCAAGTGTCTCCGCCTGAGAATAAGTGAGCTGCTCGGGCTTAATGGCCTCTGCAGGACCTTGGTGGTAAGAGCTCAGAAGGCATGAGGTACAGCCCTGCCAGGCCTCTCTGTCAGCTGCCTGTCCACAGGAAAAGGGGGTGGCAGTCATGTGGACAATGTACGGAAGCCCCTCTGTTCTCTTCCCAAGAGCAAACACAAATACTTACTGCATTACTTCGTCTCCCAGAAAATCAGGCACCTTTCTGTCTATCCAAGAACTCTGAGTGGGAGAGACTTTGGCAGCCATGCCACCCTCCTGGTGGCTGTACAGGGGGAAAACCGGTCATGCGGGAGTGGTTCACACTAAGAAGACCTTGATTGGCCATTGAACCAGAAACACCATCAACAAGAAGCTATGGAACAAAGTAAAAATTGTATTTTTCTTAAAGGACAGATAATTTTCTATACTACAACCATGCTAAATTCACTGTGCTTCAGCACTGTCTCCAGAGCGCCCAGCCACTTTTCTGTGTGATCATGTCATCTCCAAGTAAAAATGGCTTTCCTTTCCTTTTTCCTCGTCTAAGCTTTGCCCCCTTTGTTTCTTTCCCTTTCTCATTGTCTAGGACTAGAACTCACTACTGAGCACGAGTGGGAAGAGGGACCATCTTTACTGAGATGCCTATCAGAGCGGGAGCTGCTAAGGTCTTCCAAACACCCTTAGCAAACTGCAGAAGTGCCCTCGTTGACTGAGATTTTATCAAAGGGGACTGTGGACTTTTAAAATTATTTTATGTGTGTGAGTGCTTTTCCTGCAGGTATGACTGTGCACCACATGCGTGCCTGGTGCCTGCGGCAGTCAGAAGAGGATGTCAGATCCCTGGAGCTGGAGTTACAGGAGGTTGTGAGCTGCCATGTGTGTGCTGGTAACTGAACATGGATCCCCTTCAAGAGCACACAGTGCTCTGAACAACTGAGCTATTTTTCTCAGTCTGAATCGCTACATTTTGTCAAATGATATTCCCCCTACTTTATAAGGTGAGCCTTCTTTATTGTGTCAACTCAGTAATTTACACTGGCTGAACTCATGGGATGTTAGTGAATCTTACATTCCTGGCTTCACTTAGTGATGATCTACTAACCCTTTCCCTGAACTGCTCAGTTTGCTTGGTAGTGTTTTGTTTAGGACTTCTGTGTTAATATAGCAAAGCTCCCTGGGGCCATTGATTTTAACATGCACTGTTATCTTGTATGACTCTAGCAGCAAAAAGGTTTTCAATTAAAATATGACACAGAGCTAAAATTATAACAACTATAAAACAATCTTGATGTCAGAGAAGTTATTTTTAATTACGTATATGGATAGAGTGGTATGTGTATGTGAGAGTAGGTATCTGTGTAGACCAGAAGAGAGCATCAGAGCTCCCTGAAGCTGGAGTTCCAGGCAGCTGTGACCACCCTGACGTGAGTGATGGGAACCAAACCTGGGTCCTCTGCGAGAGTGAGCAGTACCTGTTCTTAAGTATTAAGTCATTCTCCAGCCCCAGTTACAGTAATGTTTAAATGTAGAAAAATATGGGGTTTGGAATCTATTAAGTAGTGTGTTTTTATTTGACCTTTAGGCAGGCCTCAGAAGGGCAGCAGTCACTGCTCCTGGTCACCAACCCATGTTCTGTTCATCACTGTCCTGCCAACAAGCCTTCTGGGAAGGCAAACAGAACTGCAGCCAGGCTTTCCATAATTTAAGTTGGCTTAACCTGCTGAGGCTTTCGCCAGGCTAAACATCTCTGAAGGTCATTAAGGAAACAGAACATGTTTCTTAAACAACTAACCAGGACAGTATCGTTAACAAAGCCACAGGACCAAAGGGAGTATAAAGGTCCCCATGTACTCAAGAGTGATTAAATGAGCCCAGTGTGTCAAACACAGTGAGTCCCAGGAAATACGTAATTAATAAAGGGGGCAACCACAGCTTAGTTCCTATTGCATCATTAACTTGACCACAGTAGTAGAAATGGTATGAGACTGGACTAGTTCTAGCTTGAGCTCTGCCATTAAATACTTCCCCGAACATTGATGAGCTGGTTAACTTCCCTGTGTCTCAATGTAGTATCTTTTAACTGAACTAGAGTCTTAAGGATCCTTCCACACCTGATAGTCAGTGATATTTAAGTCAAATTCCTGTTTCCTCTGCTCTTCATTTTTGAGTGCCTCTCTGTATCCTAAGACCTATCTGGCATTCAAAATCCCCTACTATCTGCTGTACCCAGTCTGCCCAAATGTGGCCCTAAGTCACACCACCCACCCACCCACCCACCCCCCCCCACACACACACACTCAAGCAAACATGCACACATGTTCTGGCCCACAGACTCAAGATAGTGAGTTTCTTCAGGGGTCTCTTTTCCTCTTAAATGTCCTTCTCTTTCATCTTCCCAACCCTCCCCGCAGGACCACCAGCTCCCAGCCCAGCATTTAAGGAGTTTAGACACCTCTACTCTGTCCTAATTCAAGTACAAAGCTGAACAAACTTGCTGTGGATATCGTTCTGTATAAATAAAACACTGATTGGCCAGTGGCCAGGCAGGAAGTATAGGTGGGACTAACAGAGAGGAGAAAGGAGAGAACAGGAAGGCGGAGAGAGACACTGCTAGCGCCCGCCATGACAAGCAGCATGTGAAGATGCCGGTAAGCCACAAGCCACGTGGCAAGCTATAGATTTATAGAAATGGATTAATTTAAGATATAAGAACAGTTAGCAAGAAGCCTGTCACGGCTATACAGTTTGTAACCAATATAAGTTTCTGTGTTTACTTGGTTGGGTCTGAGCGGCTATGGGACTGGCGGGTAAGAGAGATTTGTCCTGACTGTGGGCCAGGCAGGAAAACTCTAGCTACACAAACTTTAAAAAAAAAGAAAAAAAATCAATGCTTTTTTCTATCCATGAGGCAGGTGAGGTGCCAGGGCAGCTATTTCCCCCAAACTGAAGAAAATGACAGGTGGAAAGAGAATCCCAATCCACTGCACAGAAACTTCTACAGGCCAGAGACAAGTGGGAAAACCTGAGCTGTGAACAACAGATCTCTGTGGGAACACAGCTAAGGAGTTCTGCACTCCTGAGTCTTATCAATATCTCCGATTTCAGCTAGATTCTCA